AAGAGCCATTTTGTACAGGGAACCACAGATAAAAAGGCTGCAAACTTCCTGTCAGAAACAATGTCAGTCAGGAGACAGTAGACAATGCAAGACAGGTGTCTTCAAAGTACTCAAAGAAAAAACCTGCCAGCCTATATTCTATACCCAGTCAAAATAGCTTTCAAAATAAGGCAAAATACTTGTTCAGATACAGAAACAATAATAGAATTCATCACCAAGAAGGTCAAAAGTCAAAAGAATGGGTATATGAAAACAACAGTAAACTAGGCAACACTATTAATATCAAAATAAGATTCGATGTAAATAGCATCAAATGGGGCAAAAGCTTATTGTTCTTACTTTTTTGCAAGTTTATTGTTAGTCGATGAATACCATTAATTCACAGTAAGAGTTATCTCTCAAACCATGTGTAAATGTAATATAGTCTTCAGGAAACAAGAGTGACAGAAACTAATTGTAGTTAAGAAATATAAATTTTCCTTTTTTAATCCTTAAATCAGGTAGGCAAAAGATAACTGGGATATAGAAACTTAGACTGGTATTACTGGTAATGCTAATTTAAATGAAACATATAACCTCTACAGTCTACAAATAACACATCTTTTATTAGGTTTTTATAGGACATTAAAAAAAAAAAGTGGGCACAGAGAGCATCAGTTATCCCCAAAGCAGAAATGCACACACAGAGCACATTTGATTACATGTGATTACACAATGTAATAAGTCCAAAAATATTAAAGAATAAATCTTAAAAACCCCACCCAATAATTAAACAAAATTCTTAATTCTAAAACAATGAAGAAATTAAAACTGGCATGTCAAATTCACAAAATTAGGAATAAGAAATGGCATATAACGACATATAGAAACTTTAAGACAGAAGACAATTAGACAATTCCACATTTTTTTTTTAAAGATTTTATTTATTTATTTATGAGAGAGAGAGAGAGAGGCAGAGGGAGAGGCAGGCTCCCCGTGGAGCAGGGAGCCCGATACGGGACTCGATCCCAGGACCCTGGGATCATGACCTGAGCCGAAGGCAGATGCTTAACCATCTGAGCCACCCAGGCGCCCTAGACAATTCCACATTAAGAAACTTTAAAATCTCACAGATAAAAAGTTTTATAGAAAAATGTAAATTATCAGAATTGACCTGAGAAGGAAAAAAAAATCTAAACAGGTAACTGTGGAGAAATTACCAAACAGTTCAAATGATTTCCAAAAGCACACCAGGCGTAGAATAATTTATGGGAAAATTCTGTAAAGCAAATTAATTATTATGCTGTATAAACTGTTTCAGAGGGTAAGAGGAGCAAGGGAATAATGGTGGGAGAAAACTTACTAATTACTTTTATTTAAACCCTGGTATCAAAATTAGACATGAAAAAACTGTAAGCCCACCTCACTTATTAACATAGAAAGAAAAATTATAAATCACATGGCATTCTGGTTTGATTCTTTAATCTCTTGTGGGTCAAGTGCACTGTGAGTATGGCACACTGAAGAAACAGTTATTGCTCCCATCCCACTGAGGGCAAGGTCCTCACCTATGGTAAAACTACCACTAGAAAGCCAGCTCACAAGCTCTCTCTGCACTCTCTTCCATTCAAGATCACTCCTGTGCTTCCTTCTACAAGTGACAGTGTGGTGGGAGATAAACCTGGACAGGATTGCTGGGACTACTCTGCTAAAGGCTCAATCTGAACTTTAAATGTGGGCACTGGGGGCAGCACTGGAAACTTCTCAGTGATATGCTGTGAAATATGTTCAGGAAAGACAATCTGCTGATGCACTTAAAAGCAGGAGTAAGTATGAAGTACAGGCTTAATTATAAGATTTCAGCAGGGGTGCCTGGGTGGCTCAGTTGGTTAAGCGTCTGCCTTCGGCTCAGGTCATAATCCCAGAGTCCAGGGCAGGGAGTCTGCTTCTCCCTTTGCCCCTCACCCAGCTCTTGCCCTCTCTCTCAAATAAATAAGTAAAATCTTAAAAAAAAAAAAAAAAAGATTTCAGCAAATATAATCAAGGTTTGAGGCAATGAAATAACAGTGAGTATGGAAAAGGTAGAATTGGTAAGCAGGAAGATGCAAGGTAGTGCAAGGCACAAATACCATCAAGGGAGTGAAAATGTAACCTCCAACATGGAAGAAAATATATGCAAGTCACGTAAATGTTAAGTGACCTATATCCAGAATATATAAAAAAAACTCCTAAAATTTAGTAGCAGACAACTGAAAAATGGGCAAAGGATTTGAACAGACATTTCTCTAAAGAAGATATACAAATGAGCACACAAAAAATGCTCAAAAATCATTATTCACTAGGGAAATGCAAATTCAAACCACAATGAGATATTGCCCATTCAGATGGCTATGATAAATAAAACAAGACAAAAACAAGTATTGATATAGATGTAGAAGGATCCATTATACATTGCTAGTGGGAATATAAAATGATGTGGCGACTTTGGAAAACAGTTTAGTAGTCCCTCAAAGAATAAAACATAGAGCTACCATGTAACTCAACAATTCTACTCATAGATATATTCCCAAGAGCATTGAAAACATATGATATTCACAAAAATTTACACAGGAATATCCACAACAGCATTATCCATCATGGCCAAAAGTGGAAACAACCCAAAGGTCCTCATCTGATGACTGAATAAATAGAAGGTGGTATATCTATACAATGAAATATTATTCTTTATTCTTAAACTGTCAGAAACAATGTCAGTCAGGAGACAGTAGACAATGCAGGACAGGTGTCTTCAAAGTACTCAAAGAAAAACCTGTCAACCTATATTCTATACCTGGATTTTTATTGCAATCTTTTGGCAATAAAAAAGAATGAAGTGCTGACAGATATGATAAGACGGCTGAACCTTGACAACATTATGCTAAGTGAAAGAAGATACAAAAGGCCACATCTTGTATGATTCCATTTATAAGAAATGTCCAGAATAGAAAGACTTATAGACAAAAAGTAAATCAGTGGCTGCCAGAAACTATGCGAAAAGGAAACGGGAGTGACTGACTGCAAACTCGGGTTTTGTGTTTGTTTTTGGTGGTGGTGGGGAATGAAAATCCTCAAATTAGATTGTGGTGATGGTTATACAACCCACTGAATATACTAAAAAACTTTTAATTGTACGTGAATTATATCTTAATAAAGTGGTTGAAAAAATAAAGTGATGTGAAGTAAACTAGTTACCTATACTGACTACGAAGTTTCCAAACTGGGTAACTAGGAAAATGCTGTAATTAGTAGAGATAATAACAGCATCTACTATTTATTAAATGTGTGCATTGTACCAAAATCTGTACGAAAGCACTGTATGTATTTTATCTCATTAGTCCTCAAAATAAACCACTGGATAGGTATTTTTCATTCCTATTGTATAGAACAGGAAACAGACAAAGAGGCTAAACTACTTGCTTAAGGTCATGTAACTACTTAAGGTGGTGAAGTTGGAATTCAAATTCAAAACACTTGCTCAGGCCCAATACAGCCTGATGTTGGTATGAAGGTAAAGGTGAATACTATTTTCAGAAATAAACAACTGAAATAATCTATAATATACAACACATTCCTAAACTCCTGAGCAAATTATTTACCATCCTCAGACTTAATGAGGTACTAGCGATTTTATCTTGCACATAGTTAAGAAAAAAAACAGAAAACAAAAACAAAACAAAACCAACCCAATAGTAACAGTTCTAAAACATGCACACCTATCCCCGCTCATTCCCTCCATAGTTTATGGAGGCTCCTTGGCTTTTTTTTTTTTTTTTAAAGATTTTATTTATTTATTTGACAGAGAGAGACAGTGAGAGCAGGAACACAAGCAGGGGGAGTGGGAGAGGGAGAAACAGGCTTCCTGCTGAGCAGGGAGCCCGATGTGGGACTCGATCCCAGGACCCTGGGATCATGACCTGAGCCGAAGGCAGACGCTTAACGACTGAGCCACCAGGCGCCCGGCTTTTTTTTTTTTTTTAAGATTTTATTTATTTATTTGACAGAGATATAGCAAGAGACAGAGAACACAAGCAGGGAGAGTGGGGGAGGGAGAAGCAGGCCTCCCGCGGAGCAGGGAACCCGACACAGGGCTCAGGGCTCAGGGCTCGATTCCAGGACCCTGGGATCATGACCTGAGCCGAAGGCAGACGCTTAACAAATGAGCCACCCCGGTGCCCCGGCTCTGGCTTTTTTAAAAGCAGGGAAAAACAGGGAAATATTGAAGAATCACCAAGCTCTAGATGACCTTCAAGGTCTCTTCCAACTTTGATGAGTTTAACAGTAGCCTGTATTTTTTACACAGCTAAAGAACAGTATGTCAAGTTTTACACATTATTTAAACACAATTACGTGTCTGAAAAACACAGATAGCAATATAATAGGGAAGCAGACCCATCAGTCTTGAAGCCCTCCAGAGATTTCTTAATCAGAACAGAGGGTAATTTGCATGCTTACTGTAGGGAGCACATTTAAACACAGTAAATACCACTTTAGTAAATCTAAAGACTGGCACAAATGTACGAAAATACCAATACCCCATGCCTACCAAAATTCTTTGTATTAGTCAAATGCTTTACAGTTCACAAAGCAGACTATGGAAACCTGGGTCTTGCAATAACCCTGAACCCTCATACTCATTTTAAAGATGAGTAAACTGAAGCTCAGGAAGGTTAAAAGACCTGCCCAATGTCATATATCTCAGAAGTGGTAGGTCAGGATTCAAATCAGTTTAATTTAACTCTATTATTTTTCTAAATTAAAAAAAGTCACTCAGCAGAGAAATTTCTCTGAAGTTAAATGCTGTAAGGGTATGATATAAAGCAGTGATTGGTCTTTAAATACGCAAGAGCTCCTCCCCAGAAGAGAAGCAAAAGAAACTGTGGTCTAGAGCAATTAAATACAACTACATCATTATTTTTGCTGGAAAAGAAACCATTTTAGTAAACAATTTAAAAAACTGTCTTTTTAGTAAGTTCATAGCTTACCTAATGCAAAGCTGTATTCCTGGGAAAAAGCCCGTTATGCCATGGCCATCACAAAGCAGTATGGATGAATGAGGAAGGGGAACCCATTCTCAGTTTTGTTTCAAATTAAAATTGCACTGACGTCTGAAAGAAAAAATCGTGTTCAAAATGTAAAAGAGATGCTGGTGACATTCACCGTGTCCATGCGCCTTGCTAATAAATACCACAGGTGTGTGAGCAGCAGAAAGAAAACTAATCAACATTAGTATTTTTGGTTATATTAACTTCTATTCTGTACCTTCTTTGCTTCTGTGTTGTATTTTTAATTTAATTTACTTTTTAAAAGGTTTTTATTTATTTGACGGAGAGAGAGAGAGTCTAAGCAGGGGGCGAAGCAGGCTCCCTGCTGAGCAAGGAGCCCGATGTGGGACTTGATCCCAGCACCCCAGGACCATGACTGGAGCCAAAGGCAGACGCCTAACCTACTGAGCCACCCAGGCACCCCCTGTATTGTATTTTTTAAACAGACTTTTAATTTTGAAATAATTTTAGATTTACAGAAAAGTTACAAAAAATGCCAAGAGTTCTGTACACCCCTCAACCCCTCGCCCAGTTTTAATAACATCTTACAATACCACGGCACATTGGTTAAAAATAGAAAACCAACAATGATAAATGTCTATGTAACTTTACAGAATTAAAATATCCTTTGGAAAAGTGTTTTCAGCCTCCAGACCACTGCCAATAAACACCCCTACAGGTTCGAATGGGAAGACTTTAGCCAAAGAACTCAGTAAAACCTATTTTATCATTTTCTAAAAAATGAGCTAGCTACTTGAAGAGGTTTGATTCTTGTCTCCCTTTAATTTTAAGCCACTGCTGAATGTTTTACTTAAAGCTTCAGGGCAAACATTCCATCATGGTAAACTCGGAGATTCAAAAGAGAAGGTATTGTTCTAACCACTAACTCCCCACTTATCAGTGATCCTGCCATTACATTACAATATAGCCAAGGAAATGGTTTTAAATGCATGCTCATATTCATTAGCATTCGGGGTAAGAAGCGCAAATCAAGAAAAGCAAAAGGCAGAAACAGCACTAAGTTTCAGGAAAATGATTAGCTACAAACGGACAAAATAAAGTTTTTGTCCTAAACATGTTACAAATAAGACAAAAATCTTTCTATTTCAACTGTAAATATAAATAAGGTAAAAAGGAAAAGTTCATGAAAATGATAGAGTACATTCAACTGATTTTAAGAGGCATATTTCAAAATTTCTGCAATCAGGATGTCATGGCCGAGTGGAAATTTTAACGCTTGTCACTGCCTGAGACGAGCATTCCTGAGAGCCTCATCAGTGTTTCTGAAGGCACAAAGGAGGACATTGTGGAAAAGTATGGACCCAACTCTGAACTGAAAAGTATTCAAGAGTAGGAATGTTAAAAGTTTAACAAACACTTTAACCAATTTATTTCACTTTTTTCTTTTTATTTAGGCTTTAGAATCATGTCATTTAAAAACGTCTAAATAAGGGGGATGGGTTAGCCTGGTGATGGGTATTAAAGAGGGCACATTCTGTGTGGAGCACTGGGTGTTATGCACAAACAATGAATCATGGAACACTGCATCAAAAACTAATGATGTAATGTATGGTGGTTAACATAACAATAAAAAAATTATTAAAAAATAAAAAAAATAAAAATAAAAACGTCTAAATAAGTCTAAAAATGTTTTCTCAATAAGAACTTTTATAAGCCTAGGGCGCCTGTATGGCTCAGTCGGTTAAGCGGCTGCCTTCGGCTCAGGTCATGATCTCAGGGTGGGGGGACTGAGCCCCACATCAGGCTCCCTGCTCAGCCGGGAGCCTGCTTCTCCCTCTTCCTCTGCCCCTCCCCCTGCTTGTGCTCTCTCACTCTCTCTCTCAGATAAATAAAACCTTCAAAAAAAATTTTTTTTAGAAGCCTAAATGATTAAAAAAGCACGTATCATAGCTTAATTGGCAGTGTTTTCTCCTCCTTTGGTGGTAGAGAAAACAATCGATGGTATCTAAGATTCAATACAGTAGTAATTCAGCTGCTATATCCCGCAAGAAAGCTTGATAAACTACCATACTCGCAACCTGGTAGCTTAAATAAGAGAACATAATACAAAAGCCTCCTCCATCAGAAAACACACAGGAAATGACACATAATTTTGCATTATCATAATAACAGGGTTATTTTTCCAACCCTAAGAGTTTTCTTCATGTAAAAAGCAAAATCTTCCTCAAATTTCCCATGGGTATGCAGATTTCTGCACCAAATCCAAGGAACATGGAGAGAGAAGAGCCAGGGCAGGAAATCTGCCACAAGTAGAAAACTTTTAGCCAATTTTTTTTTAACCGAACTCCTTTTCTAAGGACATCAGCTGTGATGAGAGCAGGCATCAACTAATGTAGGCTAACTAAATGTTCTAAGATCCACAAAATAAATTTTTAAAATAACATTTTCCAAAGATCTGGTTAGTTTCAAGCTTCTCCAATGAGCAGGGTTTTTTTTCCCCTGTACTGTGGTAAAATATACTTAATATAAAATTTACCATTTTAAAGTGTACAATTAGTGGCATTAAGCACATTCACAACGTTGTGCAACCATCACCACTATCATTTCCAGAACTTTTTCATCATCCCAAACTAAAACTCTGTATCCGTTAAACAATAATGCTCCATCCCCTCCTGTGAATATAGTTTACCAGCCCCTGGTAAACTATATTCTACTTTCTGTCTCTATGAATTTGCCTATTTTAGATACCTCACATAAGTGAACTCATACGATATTTGTTCTTATGTGTCTGGCTTATTTCTCCAGTGAGTACTTTAGTAAAACAAAGAATGAAATCCCAAATTATTAGGTTTCTTAATAATTTAACTGCACATACTGACACAATCTCTGAACTAAGCATACAGCTTTCCCAGAAATCCTGCTGTTCCATGAGCCCCAAGGGGCAGAGACTCTCAGACTGACCCTTCCTTCTTCCTTTGCCTGTAGACAGGCCTAGTTAAACAGCTGGAACTCAAAGAGAGTTTGGCTCCTGAGAGCCCTGGAGGCCATCCTGGAGTAAGTGGATGGAGGCTTAAAGTGGAGTGGAGGCTTAAAAACCATGGGTAAGAAAAGGCAAGGATTTATCAAGCTACTTTGGCCCTGAGATGGTCTCTGGTTTGCCTGCCAGGAGGAGCTCCTGTACCCAGACACTTACGTTGGGCGACACCTGTCAGAGTTGAGGCTAGACTGCAGTCTAGTCACTGAGAATGTCACCAGTGCAGGAAGCTTCACGGGGTCATGAGTCACTTTGCATGGCTCAGAGGTCCGGGCAAGCCTGCCCTGCCCCGCCCAGACAAACCCAGTTAGGAGAGGCACAAACAAGAGAGAAAGACACAAAACTGGCAGAAACACGGATGGCCCAAGAACAGGGCTAACAGGCAGGCCATGAATGAGAGTAAAGATTGAGAGGGAAACACACGGTTAACAAACACAAGCAAAGTAGAGACAGAAATAAAAACAGGGTCCAGATAGAGATGGGCTCAAGAGAGATAAACTGGAGAGAAATACAAAGTTGACAGGGGCAGAGTTGAGAGGCAGAAAGGGCAGGTGACAACAGGTGACAGAGACCGCAACAGAGGTGAAACACTACTTAGAAGTAAACACAGGCAGATACCAGCAAAGTCCGGGTGCAGCCCTTCTCCTGGCCTTGGCTCGAACCCGAGGCCGCCACGCTGCACCCACACTGCGCCCCCGAAAGGCCGGCGGACGTACCGGGGCGGGATCTCTAAGCGCTCTGGCCCGCCGAGGTCCGCCGCCGCGGGGTGACCTTGGGCGAGACTCTGCCTCGGGGGCCTTGGTGTCGCGGTTCGCGTCCCGGGCTGGCTGGAGACCGCAGGAGTCGGACCAGGGTGCCGGGACTCCAACCGCCAGAGCATGGCTTAAGCATCCCGGTCTGCGGAATGGGCCTGCCGGGCCGGCGCCGCGCACGCGCCAGGACCTGCAGAGAAACCCTTAAACCTCTCCGGCTTCCCTCCCTGCCCTCTCGCTACCTGTTGTCCCGACTCCGCCGTACCTGCTAGGGGCTCCGCGCTCACATAACCCGCCCGCAGGACACTTTCCACCACCGGCGTCAGGCCCGTTCAAGCCGTCGCCGCCGCGACCGCCTCAGCCTGCGCCTCCCGCCCCCGGAAACGCTTCCCGGTTCCGCCCCCGAAACTGCCAGTGCTTCCGGGGGTGCGTCAGAGCGAAAGCGGTGTACGCATGCGGGACTCGCTTTCGGGGGCGGGGCTTCAGGAGAGCGCGCCGTTGCAGCAGGCTCGTGCGCAGTGGTAACCTGGCGCAGGTCGATCGGCTTTGGGGACTAGGAGTGAGGCCGCTGCTGGGAGTGAGGGAGCGGATACCAAGTCCTATCCCCCTTCAAACTTTATCTTTCTCATGCCGCCCAGCAGAGATCGTGTCAGATCCATTTTTTGCCTCCACCGTGCCTTTCGCACGTAGTGGATGCTCAATGTACAACGAAAGGAAGAGTTCCCTCTGTGTGGCAGGCGCTGTGCTGGGTTCCCCCAAGGACCTATTTTGTTCAGGTACCAGAGGAGATCCTTCGATCCCAGGGGAGGTAGATCTTCACTGCTGCTAGAAGGAATGACTCATTATTAGTACAAACTATTCATGGTAATCTCATTAGCCAGTGGTTAGACGAGGCATAGTCATGTGACCAACTTCTGGCCCCCCCCCAATTTTTTTTTTTTTGTTTTAGCAAAGTCCACTAAGACTTCTAGTTGAGTATGCTACTTAAGTGCTTTGCCATTTTTATTTTTTTCCTGCCTCTAAGCAGACTGAAGTTTGGAAATTCAGTCCCAATCATGTGCCTATAATGTGGCAAGCAAATGCTAAAGCTGGCAAAATGGGAAGATTGAAAGAGCCTAGGTCTCATACGACGTTAAGCTACAGTTCTAGCTTACCTCTGGATGTTTCGTTGGATAAGCCTAATACATTTCTTACTTGGACTTTATTTCTAGCAATATTGTAGTCTCTTCAAATATAACAGCAACAAAATATATTAAAATGCTAGGAGAAATATTGAAAGTACCCTTTTCAATACATAGATAAGCTTGTGAGAAAGTCAGGAAAATCATCTGAGACCAGGAAGAAAGCAGAAATACAAGCCTAGGAAGTTAGATCGAGTTGATGTTCAAAAGTTATGCAGAGACACAGTCTGCATCTGTTCTGATTGGTTAGCATGTGTGTTATACTGATAAATATTTTAAAAAAATCATCTCTGGAGATAGGTAAACAATGATGTTGCTACTAGCTGTAGGGGCATCTACCAAGGTCCAGGCAAGATGAGAGCCAAATTGGAATATCAGGTTGGGACCCAAGAAGGGATATATCTTTAGGGGAAGGATAAACTAGAGGGGAAAAAAATCTGCCCGGCAGAGATAGGCAGCAAGGAAAGTTTTCTCTCTCTGCCTTGGCTCTAGGCAGAGAGGCAATGCATTTTACCCCTAATGGATGCATGGTTAGAGTCTGGCCATTAAATGGCCACAATGTTTGCATGGTCCAAAAGCCCACAAGCTGAATATTTCAATTTAAAATGGACCTGAGTTGATAGTACCTATGGTACTTGGCTGAAACAAACACATGTCCTGTCTAGAACTCACTGTCAACCCAGGTCTCAAAGAATTCCCTCAGGCTTCCAAATGAATATGAACTCACAATCAATAACCACAGAACCCATAAGGAAATAAGCAGAGACGTCAAGCAGCAGAGGCGGATCTGTTTTCTTTTTTTTCTTTTTTAAAAGATTTTATTTATTTATGTTAGAGTAAGAGAGCAAGCACAAACAGGAGGAGGAGGAGAGGGGGAGGGGAGGGAGATACTCTCCAACAGATTCTGCTCTGAGCACTGAGCCTGATGCAGGGCTTGATCCCACCACCCTGAAATCATGACCTGAACTGAAACTAAGAGTCAGACACTTACCTGACTGAGCAACCCAGGTGCCCCAAGATCTGTTTTAAACGAATAGCTCATCGGAAGGTTTAAGCACCAAATTAGATACAGCTGAAGAGAAATTAGTGACCTAAAAGATAGATTTGAAGAAAATAACCCAAAAAGCATCCCAGAGAGACAAAGAAATGGAAAACAGTGAGGAGGTTTGTTAATTATGTTAGGAAATTATAAAGTGAATGTGAGCAAGGCAATTGTCAAATAATGATTGAGAATTTTCCAGAATCGATGAAAGATAAGAATCCTCATGAAACACACTGAATTCCCAGGTATGATAAGGGAATAGAAACCTAGATCCATTCTGGTGAAACTGCACAACACCAAAGCACAAGAGATAATTTTTTTAAGACTTACCTATTTTGAGAGAGAGAGAGAGAGAACACACGAGCATTGGGGGTGGGGGAGTGGGGGCAGAGGGAGAGAATCTCCAGTAGATTAAGACCTGAGGGAGGAGCCCTACATGGGGCTCGATCTCATGACCATGAGATAATGACCTGAGCCGAAACCAAGAGTTGGATGCTTAACCGACTGAACCACCCAGGTTCATCCCCAAGAGATGATTTTAAAAGCAGAGAGGAAAGTCATATAATCTATAATGGACTGACGAGAAATGACTCCTGATTGTTCAGTGGCACTAATGGGAGCAGTGATAATAATAGTCGCGTGAAATAATATCATTAATGAAATAATCACCTTAATGGTTATTCTCTCTGATGAGAGAAAATAATTGTCTACCTAGAATTTTATACTTAGTCTTTCAAGAATAAAAACACAGTACCGTTCAGATCAACAAAAACTAAGAGTTTCAGGGTGCCTTGGTGGCTCAGTTGGTTAAGCATCTGAATTCGGTTCAGGTCATGATCCCAGCGTCCCGGGATCAAGTCCTACATCGGGTTCCCTGCTCATCGGGGAGTCGGCTTCTCCCTCTGCCCCTCTCCCTGCTCGTGCTCTCTCTCTCTCAAAAATAAATAAAAATTTTTAAAAAGTTAAAATCCTAAGAGTTTCTACCAACAGAACTTAAGTGAAGGAACTTCTGGAAGATATATTTCAGGAAGAAATGAAATGATCCAGGAGGAAGACCTGAGGAACAATAAAGATTGGTGAGCAAATAAAATGGCAAACATGAGTAAATATGAACAAATATCAGGACAAGAAATAAGAACAATTTATAATTTGTGGGATTCAGAAAGGCAAAACAGAAATAATGGAATGATTGTATATAAAGTATAAAAGGATAACTGAAGGTAAAGTGTTATAAAGTGTGCATGAGTTATCTATTGCATAACAAACAGCCACAAAACCTCGGAGGGATACAACTATACTTGTTTATTGCTCACACATCTGGTGTCAGCTGGGGGTGGATTAGGAAGCTCTACTGAGCTTGGTTGGACTTGCTTACATGTCTGGGCTCACCTAATCTAGAATGGTCTTGGCTTGGGGCCTTTACTCTGCTTCATGTGTCTCACTCACCAGCCAGGCTGTCAGGATAAGTTCTCTTGGCAGTGGCAGGGACACAAAAGAGAGCAATGGAAATGTACAAACACATTTTCAAGACTCTTTTTACATCTAATTAGCCAAAGCAAGTCACATGACTGAGTCCAGTGTTATAGCCGGAGGGAGCTATGAAGGATCATGGCAAAGGGTTTGCATACAGAGAAAGCAAAGAGTTGGAGCCGTTGGTTCAATTAATCCAAGGTCTTTGTACTGTCCAGAAAATATTGATTAGCATTAGACTTTAATTAAATATGAACATTAGAATTGGGGGCTTACCATTGAAAGAATAAAAATAGAGCTACAGACCAAACCAGAAGAAGAAAAATAACATTTTAAAATGTTTTATAAAAGATTTTATTTATTTATTTGAGAGAGAGAGAGAGTAAGAAAGAGAGAGAGCACATGCATGAGTGGGGGGGAGCGGCAGAGGGAGAAGCAGGCTCCCCACTCAGCAGGGAGCCCAACCCAGGGCTCAATCCCAGGACCCTGGGATCATGACCTGAGCCAAAGGCAGATGCTTAACTGACTGAGCCACCAAGGCACCCTGAAAAACAACATTTTAAAAAAGAAGGCAAGTAGAGAGAAGGGGGGAAAGGCAGAAATGAAAACATAAAACATGGAAAAAATACAAAGTACAAAATAAAGTGGAAAAAGAAATTCAAATGTATCAGTAATCACAATAAATACATTTTTAAAAGCCCTAAACCTTCTAGTTAAAAGAGATTCCAACACCGAGTTGTTTTTTTTTTCTTTAATATTTTATTCACTCATTTGAGATAGAGTGAAAGAGAGCACACGAGCTGGGGGGGCAGAGGGAGAGGGAGAAGCAGGCTCCCCACCGAGCAGGGAGTCCGATGCAGGGCTTGATTCCAGGACCCTAGGACCATGACCTGAGCCGAAGGCAGACACCCAACTAACTGAGCCACCCAGGTGCCCCCTAACACCAAGTTTTTAAAAAAACATCAAGTTACCTCGGCCATAGCAACTTCTTACTAGCCATGTCTCTGGAGGAAAGGGAAACAAAAGCAAAAATGAACTATTGGGACTTCATCGAGATAAAAAACTTCCACACAGCAAAGGAAGCAATCAACAAAACTAAAAGAGAAGATATTTGCAAATGGGGAACATATCTGATAAAAGGTTAGTATCCAAAATCTATAAAGAACTTATCAAGCTCAACACCCAAAAAATAAATAATCCAGCTAAGAAGTAGGCAGTAAACATGAACAGACATGTCTCCAAAGAAGACATCCAGATGGCTAACAGACACATGAAAAGATGCTCAATATCATTCATCATCAAATCAAACCCAGGATGAGATACCACCTCATACCTGTCAGAATGGCTAAAATTAACAACATAGGAAATAACAGATGTTGCTGAGGATGTGGAGAAAGGGGAACCCTCTTACACTGTTGGTGGGAATGCAAACTGGTGCAGCCACTCTAGAAAACAGTATGGAGGCTCCTCAAAAAGTTAAAAATAGAACTACCCTACAACACAGCAATTGTACTACTAGGATAGAAGAATATTAATTCAAAGGGGCACATGCACCCTGATGTTTACAGCAGCATTATCAACAATTGCCAAATTACAGAGAGAATCCAAATGTCCATTGACTAATGAATGGATAAAGAAGATGTGGT